CGTTACTCTCTTTATACTTATTCTATTCCGCGCTAGAGTCTAGAAGTAGAGAGACTAGACATTTAGGATTCCGCATAATTGTACACGTGACTTGGTGCTCTCACAATGGCAGTACCAATAACCTTGCTCACTCAGCGCAAACGGGAGGAAAATTAGAATTGAAATACATACTTAGAATTTATTGTTGATAAGCCTTATCAAGAAATGATAACTAGAAAAGAATCGTTTTATTCTGGATCACAGGTTAAAATTACAAATGCATACAAAATATAAAAACATAGGTAGATCAAATAACATACATGGCCTCAGGAGTATCGAAAATTATTATTACGGCTGATTTTCATTAATTGTAATCTTTCAAAAGGGTAATAAAGTGAAAAAACAAACAGTAAGATAACTTATTCAAATGTAAATGAAATAATTTATCTTCAACACTCCTCCTCATTTAAATGAACATTTAACTCTAAGGCCTGGTGGTTCTAGAAACATTGTTTTGATAATGGCTTTGTCAATATATCGGCTATCATCTTCTTAAGGCAATATTTGTAGCTTACAACTCCTTTGTTCACAAAGTGTGACAAAAAATTTTTTGGTGTCGATGTGTTTGGTTCTGGTTGAAAATTTCTCCTCCTGAATCATGCTCAAGCAATTCTGATTATCTTCATATATAATAATAGATTGTCTGAATGTCCGAAATCATTCAAAATTCTGCATATCCATGACAACTTGTGTGTGGCATCCTTCAGTGCAATAAATTCGACTTCAGTCGAAGAGAGCGCCATACATGATTGCCGCTTACTGCTCCAATTAATTGCGCCCAATCCGAACATGATAACGTAGCCAGTGTTTGACTTACGTAAACACCTGTCTCCAGCCTAATTAGCATCAATGTACGTTCTTAACTGTTGCTCGCTTCCAAATTTTAGTTCTTTGATGTACCCTTTAAGTATTTTATAAGTCGTTTTATCTCGTTCCAATCTTCTTCAGTAGGCATTGCCATCTTTTGCGCCAGAATTGATACTGCTGCTGAAATATCTGGACGTATTGACAAATATGTACAAGAGATATCCAATTATTCTTCAATATTCCTCGTTATTAGGTAACAATGGCGTTTCGCTATTTCCATATCCGGCTCAGTGAAATATCCGATACCTTTGCATTACGTAGCTGTAATTCTTCTTTGATTCTTCTGTGTTCTGTATGTTGTCTGATAAATGACATAACATTTCTGATCATCTGATTTTCTTCTGATGTGCATATCAATTCTTCTCTCCAAGGTTCTCAATCTCATAAGCCGTATTAAGTGCAGATTCACAGTACTTTAATAAATTATTTGAGTTGCTTATAATTATTATATTACATCATCAACGTATATTAGAACATAAATTACTCCATTGTTGTCCGCCATTGTATAGAGACAATGATTGTTCTTATTCTGGTTTAATCGGATGCTAATCAGTGTGTCATATATTGTTTGGTTCCATAATCTAGCTTCAGACCATATATACTCCTTTTGAATAAACACATCTTCTCTTGCCCATTCCTTGAAAAACTTGATGGCTGCTTCATATAAATAACTTCCTTTAATTCGCCGTTGAGAAAAGCCGTTTTTGCGTCCAAATGCAATACTTTTATGTTATTTCTTGCGGCTATTGACAGCAGAATTCTGAATGTGACTGATCTTGCGACCGGTGCGAATACTTGATTGTAATCTACTCCAAATTTTTGATTAAAACCTTAGCCAATAGCTACAAGTCGCACTTTATATCTCTTTATTTGTCCGGTTTCATTTAGTTTGTAAACCCATTTGCACTCAATAGTTCTGTCCTTCGATAAGCTTACTAACTCCCAAACATTGTTATCTTAGTGCAATGACATCTCCTCCTCCATGGCTGGGATCCATTTTTCTTCCGTTAGACGTAACTGCTTCTTGATAATTACTCGGTTCTTTAACTGTGATTAACGAGGTTCATCTCTTCTATCAATTTTCATGGTGCATAATCTTCAGTCGAGCGAGATGAATGCTTCGATATTTCTTTAGCAGGATCGTTTAAGTCTTGTTATCAGATCCATTCTATTCATCATTGCTTTCCACTCTACTGTAAAATTCATCTGTTGTGACAGTTGAATCATGTGCATCTGTCAAAGTCATTACGTTAGCCTCATCATTATTTTCCCTTTTAATAACATTAATGATTATTTCTGATATTTGAATTGACTTCTCAGAAATTATATTTGATTTCTTCTCGAAAAATTGCGCGTCTCTAAAAAAGATTATTTTATCCTGCTCTGGAATGTAATATCTATAAGCTTTCGATGCGCAATCATATCCTACAGCAGCATTTCACATAAGCAGCTTTCGAATCCAATTTCTGTCTTCTTTCATCCGGGATGCGAACGTAACGTTGCTCTCCAAACCGTCTTAGGCGTGTGTACGTTGATTGCTTATCATACCAGTACTCGAATAGTATTTTCGATACGCGTTTCCACAACAAACGCTTTTCCACAACAAACGGTTTTGAAATTTGCTGTCATAATTGCCTCTTCTCAAAAACGCTTCACGAAGCCAGCATCGAAAAGGATATAACACGCTATCTTAATCACGATTCTTACGCTCTGCAATGCCATTCTGCTATGGGGAATACGGTGTTGTTCTTTAGTATTCAATGCTCTCAGCTGAGATAGTTCTCAAAATTCTTGCTCACATATTCGCCGTTTCGATCAGATTTTATCATTTTTATCTTGCGATCAAATTGATTTCATGTCAATTCAACAAACTTCTTGAACTTATCAAATAACTTCTTTCTTAATAAATAAATAGTATATCGTGAGCAATCATCTGCAAAAGTTAGCACTTTTTTCCAGATGATGTGATAGTTGGCATGGGTTCGTAAACATCAGAATATATCCAATACATTTTCTGCACGACTATCAGTTTTTTCAGAAATTTTATTCTAGTCATTTTTTCCTTTATATAAATTGCACATACTGATTTCTTCTTATAATTCTCTCCACTCAGCAATCTCTATCCCGTTTCCCAAGCCATTAGGGTAGGGCAGTTTCTTCACAACTTCAATATCTTTATGTCCTAGAACCTTATGCTATTCATGTGAGCATTTATGCTGCTTTGCTTGTGCGATATTCACTGATTGTGACTGTCGAAGTCTACAAATTTCGTACAAATCTGTTACAGCGTATTGCTTCGTATCGTCATCACTTCGTATCTCACATTTATCGCTGGCAAAATTGATTTTGAAACCCTTTTTAATCAATCTTCGAACCGAAAGCAAGTTATCGCCAGTGCATATATTACATCATCCATTCTTATTTTGATTGTACCGTCATTCTCATTCTTGAAATTCAAAGAACAGTCCCTCAATCGCTAATAAAATCTGCCCATTCGCCACGCCAACCTTCTCACGATGCTTCTCATCAAGATTTAGAAATGCCTCCTTTCTACTTGTGATATGACATGTGGCTCCAGAATCCACAATCCAACCATCCAAATCACCTACTGTGAACAGCATCTCTCCATCGTGGACATCGTTCTCAATTATATTAGCCTTATGCGTATCATATTTCTGACTTTTCAGCAATTGTTTGTACTCATCACAATTTCGTTGAATATGGCCATTTTTATTGCAATGAAAACACGTAAACATTTTCTTGCCGTCCTTATAATCTGTGTCTCCAGTGCCACCACCTGATCTCATCGTATTAACTTTGAATGCTGATGCCTTGTTGTCATCATCTCGATTTTTCCTGCGCTTATATTCTGAAATTATTTTTTCTCGCACATATATGCTTGTTAATTGGTTCTCGTCCTTCTCCTCTAATGCAGTAATGCATCGAAGCTACTGGGAAGTGTAGTTAACAGCGTACCACATAAAAAATTCCGGCTTTATTTTAATATCGAGAGCAAGTAGTTTTAGGAATAATTCATTTTGTTTACATGGCCTTCGGCACAGCCTTCACTTAACCTCTCTTGCATGATCAGACGTAATAAATGTATCCGATTATTTGTTGAATCCATCTCATATATTTCCTTCAATGCATTTCATGACTTCTTTGCCGTTTTGCAGTCTCTGATGTGTTGTATTTAGATACCTTTCACGCATAGCGCAATCGTGGTCAATGCCTTCTCATTTGGATCTTCTCACTCACAGTCACTGGATCAGGCGCACTATTGACAATTGTGATTGTTCATAACTTTTCTCGACGTAGATACATTTCCATCTTAAATTCCCAGTGAAAATAATTGTCACCATTGAGTTTTGTCATCGGCTTTAAGTCAGTAACATACATGAACATTGCGTAGCAACACGTAATACGAGAAATGCAAAAGAAATAATCCTTATACAATAACTAAACACTATGATCGTGTTCCTGGGTCTATAACCTGTTGGTAAGGCTCAAGAAATGATATAACTAGAAAAGAATCGTTTTATTTTAGATCACAAGCACAAAATTACAAGTGCGTACAAAACATAAAATAGGTAGACCAAATAATATAGATGGCCTCATGAGTGTAGAAAATTATTATGGCTGGTTTTCATTAATTGTGATCTTTCAAAAAGATAATAAAATGAACAAGAAGAAACAAACAGATAACTTATTCAAATGTATGTGACTGAAATAATTTAGCTAATTACTTCAACATTTATAATAATACAGAAATAATAATGTATGTGTATTTCCTACAAAATTGAGAAATGTATCTTTGGCGAAGATTCAGTGTATATACATACGATGCAATGTATGTAATATACACTAGCTGTGTTCTAAAATTCACTACCACTACTAAAAATCTGTAATGCCCATAATACTACATGGGCTGAAAAGTCCCGGGATTTTTCGTTAGGTGACACCACTAGAAAACATGAACATGATTCATTTCGAGAGGTTCTGTCACTAATTTATGTATGAAGTTTCATGACATTTCGTTCATTCGTTTACAAGCAGTCGTTTAAGTGGCGCTACTTTCGCCTTCGTAAAAAAAAATGGAAACACAGGAATATCGCATCTTGATCAAACATTATTTTTTGATGAGAAAAACTTCTGAACAATGGTTGCAGAAATGTTATCCCACATCTGCTTCTTCGAGAACAAGTTTATCGGTGATTTAGTGAATTTAAAATGGATCATACAAGCACCAAAGACGCATCTCGCTTTGGAAGGCCAAAAGAGGCTACGAATGCGGAAATCGTAAAGCAAGTGCATCAAATCGTTTTGAGTGATCGTAAAGTGAAGTTGCGCGAGTTAGCTGAGACCGTGGGCATCTCAAAAGAACGGGCGGGATACATTTTACATGATGTTTTGGAGATGAAAAAGCTATCGGCGCAATGGGTGCCGCGTTTGCTGACCATCGATCAAAAACAGCAACGCGTTGATGATTCAACGGCCGGTTTGGCGTTGTTGCAGCGTAATCGAGCGGACTTTTTTCGACGTTTTGTGACGGATGAAACGTGGGTTCATTACCATATGCCTGAGTCCAATAGGGAGTCTGCAGAGTGCCTGCCACGAAAGCCGACCAAAGCGGCCAAAAGACCAACGCTCGGCCGGGAAAGTTATGACCTCCGTTTTATGGGATGCGCATGGCATAATCTTCATCGATTACCTGCAGAAGGGAAGAACAGTTACGGGAAAGTATTATGCAGTGTTATTGGACAAACTGAACGACGAAATAAAGAAAAACACGGCTCCATATGGTGAAGAAAAAAGTTCTGTACCATCACGATAACGTACCGTCATACACATCCTTGAAAGCGATGGTCAAATTGGACCAATTATGATTCAAATTGGTTGCTCACCCACCGTATTCTCCAGACTTGGAGATTTCCCCAGCGATTATTATCTGTTCCCAAACCTCAAGCGGTGGCTCCAGGGAAAGAGATTCACATCGAATGAGGAAGTCATCGCGGAAACCGAGGCGTATTTCGAAAGCTTGGACATTTCGTACTACAGATAGGGCATCGAAATGTTGGAAAATCGCTATATTAAGTGTATCGTCCTCGAAGGCAACTATGTTGAAGAATAAATTTAACTTTGCCCTTGTTGGGCTTGTTTTCATTAAAAATCTCGGGACTTTTCAGCCCATGTAAAGGCTTATTATTTTTAATTGAATTTCTTTCATTTCTCGCATCTTAGTTTATCTTTTTTTTTCTTCTCTTTGCATTGTATGAAAAAGATGGAAAGTTGAATCGTGTCATTATTATTTATATTACTTAAAAAAAGATTAGGAAACTTGCAGATAATCATTAATCAGAACATTGCAAATAATCATAGCTAGACACATAAAAAAAATTATTTATTGAATTTTTATATTTAATTCTAGGGATATTACATATTGTTATTATATATTGTTATAATATTATACAAATTGATGTATATTAATAAAAACAAACATGTTACATGACGTAGCAGCCAAAACATACACACACACACACACACGCGCGCGCGCGCGTGCGCACGCACGCACACTCACACATTCGTCGCCATTTTGAGACCACTTCTGCTAAATGTCCAGACTCTCTACTTTTAGAGAATCTATTCCGCGCCAAAAGTTAGTTTAATGTCAACCACCAAATAGAGATACACATGTTCGCAAAACCGTGTTATTTTTTCATTATCCTAAGTCCATAGTTACATTAGTGTTTTGAAAAAGTCTTGAGGTAAGTTACAAGAATATGCAACAAAAAATGGGAAGTTTAAGGGAAGTTTAATCCTAAAACGAAACCCGAACTCTGATAAAGTCACCAGAGATTGCTGTTTTTTCAGTGCACCGATGTTTTATATACTATTACACCAATATCTCACGTAACTTATGATACACACAGTCCCACGTTCAATTTTCGTAAAACAAATTCGTCGCGATGAAGCGTCTAATTCTAAGAATTTATTTCTTCGTGCAAATTACGTGTTGGTTAAATTATTATTTCGTAAATACAGGTTACAAAACTTTTTTATCAAGCAAATGTTATTACGACTTGACAACTTGAGACGCCATATTATACTAAGAAATGATAAAAAATATATCAATTTCGAAATTTTTGGTCATTCTCGGCATAAACTTCACAAAACATATTAATGTGTATATTTTAATTCTGAAAAAGATTTTCGAATTTGTGAAAGAGAAAAAAGTTTTTTGTTATACAAAAATTATATGATTTAGTCGATAATACAGACAGTTTTAAGATTTCCTTAAGAAAACATCGGTTGACTTAGAAAATCACTCAAGGTGAAATCCATTTTTATCATATGTTCCTTAATATCCTATAATTATCGTATGAAATGATTTTCCATATCTACAGCGTTTCCAAGACTTCGACCTGGATCAGATTTTATAGACATCCTGTATATATAATTCACAATGATTATTTAAGCATCAAAAATCCAGCTTCGACTGTTATGAGTCTTTAATTCCTATTTTTCAATAAATATTTATGTACATATTATGTATTTATGTGTATAAAATCAATAAAACATCAATAAAAAGTGAACATTAAATTTTCTCAACAATCAACATCTTAATATTCAATTCATCTTGAATATAGAAGAGATTGGTAAACTTCCTTTCTTAGATGTTCCGAACAAAGAAGACTGACAAACCCTTGGCTATCAAGTATACAGGAAGCCACACACATTGACCGATACATATTGAAATGCACTACCATCCAGCACAAAACAGTCTGCAATACATTCACTTGTGCATACAGCATTCGATCTTATATCTCTGATAAGGAATATCTACAAACAGAATCTATTTGAAATAAACTTTATAGGGGAACGGATACAATAAGAAAGAAATGAACAGCATAATCAACAAACATACAGTAGCGGGACAAAGAACAATTCGGATACACAACAACCACAGAAAGAATTAAACAAAAGAAGATTTTTCTCGATTTTTCTATATATAAAAAGAACAACAGATCGAATCGGCGAATTCTAGGCTTTTGAATAAATACTGTTCAAAATCTGAACTATTTTCAAGCCTCCAAGAAAGATTGAGAAAATCTTGAGAAATCCTAAAGACCAAAGATCCCCACTCAGTTCCATAAAATATTTTGCTCTTTCAGGAAAGTATACATCCGCTAAAACCGGAAGAATAATCAACGCATGAAGGAAAATCAATAGGATATCAAACTAAAATATGTCAATCAGTCTTGGTAGAACACAGCGTTGAGATATCAAATATTATTCGACAAATGGCTACTATAGCTATAGCATCATATTTTTCGAGCAAAGATGGGCATTTTTACAAATAAAGAATAAAGAATAAAGTCTTATTCATAAATAAAAAATAATTTTTTATGCGAATATAAATTTATTTGTGTATCTAAAATAAAATTATATTCGAATATTTCCATTCGAGAATATCATGAATGATATTTTATTTAAGTTAAAACTTATTCCCACAATGCGAATAATGTATTCGAACAAATAATATATTCGAATAAAATTTATTCAAATACATTATTTTACTCATATACAATGTATTTGAATGAATAATATATAGTTCGAGTAAATAATGTATTCGAATAAAATTTATCTCGCTAAAAGAAATAGTAAATTAGCCCTCTTCTCTACAATATTGATGAATTAGGCTCATTTGACATGTTTTTGCACGAAAAAAAAGAAGTAACAGAAAAGTAAATAAGAACTACGGAATAATTGCAACATAGCGACGATTTTTTTTATTTTGGTAACTTATTGCCAACGACTAGTGGAATTACAGAATACTTTTTCTTTTATGCTAAAATAGAAGTTATCAAGTATTTCAGTGACAATCATCGTGAAATATTAATGTTGCAAGTATATCCTACAATTAAAAACGTCTTTTTGCTACAATACACCTCTTCAGGCCTTCATAGAGAGGTTATTTTCTTATGCAATAATGAGTAATGTTCCCAAAAAAAAGTAATAAATTATCAAATACAATGTTTGAAAAAAGAGTTGTGCTTAAAAGTAATTATACTAAAAATATAATATAAGAAACTGTTATATGTTTATATTATTGTTATAAAAAAGATTTTTATATTACTATGTTATAAAAAAATATTTATGTTATTTTACATTATACTTTACAATACACATGTATTAAATTATCTATGTTTAAGATATTTCGAATTGTATGGGCTATGTTCTCTCATTTAATTAGATTCAAATTCTCATTGGTCCTATTTTGTTATATTGTTCCTAGACTACAAAATTTCAGAGTACTATACGAAAATAAGTAAATTATATTAAAATCTTTATTTACTTTTCTGTTACTTCTTTTTTTTCGTGCAAAAACATGTCAAATGAGCCTAATTCATCAATATTGTAGAGAAGAGGGCTAATTTACTATTTCTTTTAGCGAGATAAATTTTATTCGAATACATTATTTACTCGAACTATATATTATTCATTCAAATACATTGTATATGAGTAAAATAATGTATTTGAATAAATTTTATTCGAATATATTATTTGTTCGAATACATTATTCGCATTGTGGGAATAAGTTTTAACTTAAATAAAATATCATTCATGATATTCTCGAATGGAAATATTCGAATATAATTTTATTTTAGATACACAAATAAATTTATATTCGCATAAAAAATTATTTTTTATTTATGACTAAGACTTTATTCTTTATTCTTTATTTGTAAAAATGCCCATCTTTGCTCGAGAAATATGATGCTATAGCTATAGTAGCCATTTGTCGAATAATATTTGTACAGATTCAGAAATGACACATTCTGCTGCAATGAAATTCTTTTTTTTTTTGTTTGAAAAGAATTTCTATTGATAATTAAGAATTAATGCAATTAAATCGTTTTTTTAATCTTGGATATGATAATGAAATGATTGTTGCATTTTCTGGAGTGACTAAAGAGAAATTAAAGAAATCAATGTAGTACAATATTTTCAATTTTTTGTTACAAATTTTGAAGCTTTTTTCGCAAAGCTAACAAACATGGAAGTACGAGTCCATAATATATATTATGGATATATACGCCTTTTTGAGTTATAGTATATCTAAAGCTTCAGCCAATGTGATACACATGATATTCTTTAAGATATAAGAATTCGTTCTTTTTAAATCCATTTTTTATATTCAAATTCTTGCAGAAGAATATTTATTACAAATATTATACATTTGCAAACATAACTAACTCATATAAAGAATTCCATCTGGTCTCTTCAGATCGATTTAATATTCTTAATGTACTGTATTATTTCTGCAGATTTTGGACATCTCGCTAGTTTCGATAATGCTGTGCATTTTGCACAGCGTTAATCTGATAATACAGCGATAATGAATTGCATTTATTAATCATCGATATCATATCAGTTGTAACAGATTAAGTGTATGCGCATCTGAGATGTTGCAGCAAAAAAGTGTTATGATGCACTGACTCATTGTCATATAAATCTGTAATATATAAAATAGTACAATCAAAAGTTATTTTACATTATTTACGTAATTGTTATTATAAGTAAAAGAGATATCTATTATAATAGGAAAAATAAATAAAAAGATTAACAATAATCAAAATAAAAGGATCATAATATAGCATTATCCAGATATCCAATATAAAATTGATTTGACAAAGATTCAACCAAAAATAATATATATAACTATGCAAACAATAATTACATAGTATATTATTTTTAAATAAATGCTAAAACTGTGTTAATTGGAAAAGTAACCTTAAAAAGTAACTTGTTACCATTACGCGTTATTTACTGAAAAAAGTAATAAATAACTTGTAATGCGTAACACGTTACCTGTCATCCCTGAGAATATATGTGTAATACGATTAATTCTTACTTACTATTGGAATGTGTTTAAATTCTTCTTAGTCATCTTTTTCTTCATGATCGTCATCATCTATAGATTCATCTTTAGAAACTTCGATATTGCAATTGAAATGATTGAGTTTCACTCCAAAAAGACGAAAAGCTTTGACAAAATTATTAGCATTGTCACTAATAGTCGCAATCATTTTTTCGGAGTCTA